ACACGGGTCAGCTTTACTACCTATACGAGGACTCTCCGACTGTATTAGGAATTACTCTCCCCAATTTAACCGGATTCGTCTAAACAAAAAATCAACAACTCCACTATTTTCACACGAGAACTTGATTACTATCAAAAGTACATGCTACAGAATGCGCCATTCTTTTCTTCAACGTAATATACTTTGCTACGTCTCATACTGATTAAGTGTTTAATTTGATTTTGATGTTTGATGTTTGCTAAACATAAGAAGAGGCGGGAAAGGGGGGGGGGAGGGGGTGACTTTGCCTTACCGTTTGAGGATCCATATGTAGTGGTCATGTTTGCACAGCTGTACCGATGTAAAATGATGACATAATATCATGCAATGATGTGCTGAGTGACATAATGTAATGTCACTCAAAAAATTTTAGGTTAGAGGGGGAAATAGCAGGTGATTGCAACCGATAAAGTGGTGTGGGAGTTGCAGCACCTTCTCAACGACGGAATACTGCCCACAGCTTGGCAGACCCTACTCCGTCCGTTTGTTTTAGTGTAGTCGTAAACATCACTTCTGATTCTACATAACCTTTAACTGTCCTCCACTTTTATATGCCAAATCCTTGCTCACTTACCTCCCTTATCATTGCTCAGCTCTGTAGCTCAATATTGACAGGAAATTGTTAAAATTGATGAAGATAATCGATAATTCTGAAATTTAACGTATTTGTAAACAGCCTGCATACAGCCCCGTGCCAACCCTTTGGCTTTGTTGATACTGATTTGGAAGATCGGGATCAGTATGAACGCTGCCTTAAAAGCGTAGCTCAAAGTTGAAAAACCCTGGCCGCGACATCCGTAGTGCAAGCACATCTCGCGCCGACGATAATGACGCTGGCCTCCCTTCAGATTGAGGGCCGCTATATTCCTCTTTCTTTCCCAAAATCCACCAGAAAGTGGACCCCTCATGCATGGGGTGAACGATAGAGAAACGGAGAAAACTTCGCAGTGCGGCGGTGAATTCAGAGTATAGTAAGGATCTCTCATCTCACAATTAGAAGAGTCAGAGAAGCGAAATCTAAGAGATTAAATATATTCATCAGGATCAAAACTCAGTCAAGCCACAACCACTGAGACCCGGCATCAGCACTTGGAAGAGCTAGGTTCAAAGTTTCATAACCAGTAGCTATGCGAAAGTTTTAGAGCTGTTCAAATAAAATCAAAATGCAAAGCATGGAAAATGCTATCTTTTCTAAGGGATTCAGATCCTGTGGCTTCTGAGTGGGAGGCGTGCAAGTGTTACCCAGGCAGCCGCCTGGTGCCGCAGCCAGCTGCCAGAGCTGGCACCAACGCCCCGGCTGACCTACCGTAAGCGCGCTTTCGTCATCCACAACCTCTCGATGAGAGATTTTAGCAGCAGCCTCGCACCTCATCGCGCTGAAGTGGCGATGAGCGCACCTCATCGCGCTGAGGTGGTGAGGCGCTGAGCGCGTCTATCACATGGTATATCGGTCAGGACAGTAGGAAAATTTGCAGTTTGTTGATAATTTGCACTATAAAAATGTGCAAAAACAAAAAAATAGAAATGAAATTATTAGATAACTAGCTGGCTTACCCGGCTCCGCCGTATCCGGACCAAACTTGGCACACATACACTTCGGGCCCCGGCGGGTGTCACAGTCCACTTTTCGTTATCGATCGATGTCGATTTTACCGATTTTTGTCGATTTTTTTGCAGAGTTCACCTACAGGGCTAGGAGTTGGCACAGGGGGGGAAGTGAGCATGGGGATTCCGAATACAATATTAGTTTTCAGAATTATCGATTACTTTTATTGATTTTATCGATTTTTTGTAAATTTTGACATGCGAGGCTGGGATTTTGCACAGGGGGGTAATCGAGCATGCTGATTACGAACACAGTATTAGTTTTCAGGATCGTCCATTTTTATCGATTTTATCGATTTTTTTGTAAAGTTTGACCTGCGGGGCTGGGAGCTTGCACAGGGGGGTAATCGAGCATGCAGATTACGAATACAATATTAGTTTTCAAGATCGTCCATTACCTTTATCGATTTTATCGATTTTTTGAAAATTTGAGCTAGGGGGCTGGAATCTGGCACAGGGGTGTAATCGAGCATGCTGATCACCCCCCTTGGGGATGATCAGCATGCTCGATTACCCCCCTGTGCCAACTCCCAGCCCCCTAGCTCAAACTTTGCAAATCGATAAAATCGATAAAAGTAATCGATAATCCCGAAAACCAATATTGTATTCGGAATCCCCATGCTCGATTATCCCCTGTGCGAACTCCCAGCCCCGTAGCTCACACTTTGCAAAAAAATCGATAAAATCGATAAAAGTTATCGATAATCCTGAAAACCAATATTGTATTCGGAATCCCCATGCTCGATCACCCCCCTGTGCCAACTCCCAGCCCCGTAGGTGAACTCAGCAAAAAAATCGATAAAAATCGATAAAATTGATATCGATCGATGACGAAAAGTAGCCTATGACACCCGCCGGGGCCCGTAGCGTATGTGTGCCAAGTTTGGTCCGGATCGGTTCAGAAATGGAATTTTCTATTCGGAACATACGTACATACATACAGACATACATACAGACATACATACAGACAAACAGACATTCAGCTTTATATATAAGATTACAAGATTGGATCAAGAGTCTGATAATGAAACAGAACCCTGAAAAAATTCAGTGAGTAAGAAAACTGGACATATTCAATTCTCTTCAATGAAATAAACATAGTTACAATAAGGGAAGAGTCATAAAAAATATAAAATAATTGAATACTGAGTTTTTCCACAATTCGTCGTGACCTTTAGTTCAGAAGAATATTTAGGGTCTATTTCTCAGGTTTCTTGGGGATCCGAATTTAGTTGTAGTCCAAAGAATCCTGGAAGTTTAGAGCTGCCAGAAATCAAGAAGTGGAAACCATTTTGAAGCCGTTTTTTCGATTTTGAAAGCGGTATGGAAATATAGGTTTTTGAATTGTTTTTTTTTGGAATCTCCTCAAAATACCAGTAAACATTGATTTCTTAGGAAATTGCGCGGTTTCCAAGGGAGAAGAACGCCTTTTTTCCTCTGGTTTAAATAGATTTGCTTCTTTTATTCTTCTAACAAATAAATCGCATCGTATTGGGGTTGTCTCCTATTTCAATCGTTTACAGTTTCTCCTGCGATAAGTCATATTTATCTTGATCTCCAAAAAATCCCTGGACTTTTGTTAAGGCAAACCAATCTCTACAGAAAAGATCCCGCAGCTTTGCAAAATGTCTATTCCATTTGAAGTTTTATGCTAAAATCAAAAGAGATTTGAATGCATGAAAAGATTAGAAATATTATATTTGTCAAGATTCAACAAGCTTCTTACTGGCTCAGGCACATGCTCTCCAAGCTTTCTTTGTGCAATCTGTGTTTTTTCCCACGCAAAATCGAAAACCACAAATAAGTTGAATTAGGACAAAAACATTTTTACGCTGAGTGTCTTTTTTTAAAAACAAACATTTGGAGCCTAAAGGTTACTATAAAAATATCTGTGTAGAACAGCTTAGGACATCATTGTCAGGTGTGGAAGGGGCAAGTAGGTGCTTGTGAGATTGGGCGTAAATACGATTCGCAGTTTCTCGGGCATTCACAATTCTTTGATTTATTTGGGTTGCACTGTATGTGGAACGAATGTTTTGCATAGATTTGGTCCCTAAGGGCTTGGTTTGCTCTATATAAGGTACCGCATATACCATTTAGCGAGCAAGAGGAATATTTCTTACTGTAAGGAAACTGAAAACGGAGAAAACTTATGAGACAAATAAATGCCAGTGCCGAGCAATCGGGCAAGTCTACACCACTCCCAAAGCTCAAACTGTTTGTTTATGATAAATCAATAGTTTTATGTATCTAGCGTGGTCAAGGTAGATAGTCTAGATATATGTTTGAATAGTTGCCCTGAACTTTACACGAAATCAGAAATTCCGAAAAGGTCGAGAGGAGGATTAGTCAAAATAGTCCGTTAGAAGTTTGAATTGAGGTCCGATTGCTGGACTTAAGGACGCTATCTTTTGCATTTTTAAGCGGTGTTTTTCAATCTAAAATGCCTTGCTAGTTATGTGTTCCTTTGCTTATCAAGAACGAGAAAGTCGCGTGCCTGATTCAACCAGTAATATGATGTTTTGTTATAGAAGGCAGAAGCAAATCAAAAAAGTTGGCAAATGATTTGTACGAACTTCCCAAACTTCTTATTCAGGGGCGGTATTTATCAGTCTTCGTTCAAGTAAGTGTTCTCGTATAAGTCTAATCCAGTCAAACGCGGGTGCTGCTCAAGCTCATGATGCCCAAACGTGGGCGTTTGAGCGTGCAAGAGCCGGCTCAAGCAGAATCGGGTAGTCTGCAACGCCTGATCACTTAGCCCATCTCGTTGACTATATTTTAACGTTAGTAAATTAAACGATTTATTTACTAATCAACGGGCAAGGTAGGAGTTTACCGTTCTGTTGCAGTAGACTGGTTTGATTTTAGATTTTATTTGATTTGATCATAAAATCTACAAGTTTCAAAGCCCGATCTCTCCAATCCGGGCTGTGAATCTCTTTTGAAGCTCAGGATTGAATTAAAATGTCGAAAAAGCTAAATCACAACTTAACAACTATCAAACCTTACTCGATAATGGTGGTTGAATTGTTCGATTTGCTAACTTTTTCGGGCACACAATCAAACACACGCGCTTTTTCACAGAATTTGTACAGAATAAACAAGATCAGGTAAGTGTCCAGGCATTCAAATCTATTCTGCCTGACTGAGCTCTTGCACGGTCAGGGCATCCACTTTGCGCATCATGAGTCTTGAGCGCCCGCGTCTGACTGGATTACGACTTGTACGGAAACACTCCGAGCAGAAGATACATACATACATACCGCTCCAGTTGCAGTGGAAGGTAGTGGTGCAGTGGAAGTACCGCTATGACCGGAAAAACAGTTGCATTTGGCGCTTGGCGCAAATCTTTCCACATGCAAGATACCACCACAAGACCTCATGGTTTTTTCTTGCAGAACGCGGATAAAAAAGTAGACGAAACCATGAAACAATTTGCCATCAGAAATTGTCCGAAAACCTGCGGCTATTGCTGTCTTACACCAGCCTTTAATTGCGATAATAAGAAACGTAAGTTGAACATTGGCATACTTCTGGTAGCGCACTAACTGACCGTCGCTATTACAGATCCTCGCATCACATGCGCTCTCGTAACGAAGGAAATGTGCACAGATCCGCTTTGGAAACCTATCATCGCCGAAGATTGCCCCAAAGCCTGCGGTTTCTGCATGGAAGGCAAAGATTTTATTGAGATTATTCAATCAAATCTTTACAAAGAGTCACTGTTTTTTGTGTGAAAGCAGGCTTGTTACCGGATACATTATTAATAATATCAAACTCTTTATAGTCCGTCAAACATAAGTAACATTCCTTTGATTCTAAAAGTTCTTTGAATACTTTCATTACGCACACGCACATCGTCAGCTAGCATATTCCGTTCAGGGAACTGTGCTGACAAAGCGACATCTTGTTCGGTAGCCCTCTGTAAACACATAGATTTGCAAGACTTTGTGAAGGTACGGCTGTTTACATATAACAATTATAATAGGTTTCGTAGCGATAGTAATAGCACTTGTTCTAATAGCGCATTGTGAAACTGAACTTTGCATGCGTAGCTTTGTACTCTTAACATACGGTAAGGTCCTCAACACCGTCTTTCTACATGAAAATTTTGAAAAGCACACTTTTAATGTTAAAGGCAGTGGCTGGGCAGATCCTCGTCCTGTGATTTTTTCGCTCACCTGGAGTATTTCGACGCGCTGATTCCGAAAATCACTTTTAGAGCGCGAAAATGGCGAAAACCAGCATTTTCCAAAGCCCCTCCTTTTGATTCTGGACGAGGGGACCGCTTCCCGCCATGGCTAAAGACGTAGAGTGTTGTGGGGTCCTCATGTTTATAGTCTTGCGACATGCCGCCTCTGACGGTGTGAGAGATATCGCAAGCTCGTCCGAGCGCGTGTAACAATGGCTTGCGCGCACGGTTTAGGGGCAATTTTCTAGGCAGGGACAATATGCTGTGCGCTCGGACCTGCTTCGTTCTCATGTTTGGAATGCAAGCAACCTTTCATATAAAAATTTCGAGATGTTCGAATTTGCTGAGCCACTGCCTTTAATGTACTCTAACACATTTCTCGCAGACAATGATGTGATTCTTATCATTTATTGTACTGTTCCGTTGTAAGACTGGATCGTTTTCAGGAAAACTGCCGAAAAACTTGCGATCTTTGTGAGGAGAAACAAAGCAGTAAGTATCCATCTTTAAAAGTATCAGATGCAAAGACAGTCAAACATACCTTCGTTGTGTTCCTTATGTGGAGAAAATTGAACTAACAAATTGCAACCACTTTTTACCGTCCAAATGTCCATTGTCTTGATGAATCGAGCGTTATGTAATTTTTCTGATAACGTGTGAGTGTTGCATCAAACATGGATATGCTTTACCCAGATCGCTGGCGTCGATTTCTCATGAATCGTTTTTGAGGTACATCAACAATTGCAACAGCTATAACAACGGCGTTACCTGCAGGCTGTGGGGACGATGCGAGGTACTTTTTTGCGTTTATGAGATACATTTCTGTTGATTTTTCGATATTGGAAATTCTTATAATTCAAAGCCTTATGCCGCGCCTCTGAGCTAGTATTTTGGATTTTCGTTTATCAGATTGGAGCGTAAGGTGGGTTCTAACCAGGATCAAGCTTGTGGTGTGGCACGCTACACTTGGGGATCATACTGAAGGGTTAGGGAGGGGGGGGGGGGGTTGTAATCGAGGTGATACTGATATTGGCCATAACATGGAATCCGTAAACATTGTCAGATAGGCATATTACGCAAAAAATTGTATTGGCCTACTTCGTGAGGTACATTAAGTATATAAAAGAGTTGTAAAAGCGTTAGAGCATCATTTATCAATGAGCAAGTCAAATAACCCCTGTAGGTCAAGTTTCAGCAAATTCTGAGGTTTCAAATAGGCCACCCAAATGAGATGTCATTTTCGAACTTTAACTATGTTAACTTTGTTTAAAAAGTGAGAACACTTCTTTTTGCACCTAATACAAAAAGTAGGGAATCCCACTTCAGATAATCTCTAAACTATAAACTTAAAAGCAGGCCAAATCTCTTTCTCTCTTTGTCCATTTTTAGCTTTCGATATCCCAAACTAGAGAAAACCAACCACGCTCTAATCAATTTGTAAAAGTTACAAAGTTTAGGTTATCGAATGGTTATTGTCTTGTCAATCTCGCTTGCGATTCATGTAGTAGCGTAGATTAAGCATGTTGTCGTAATCCAATATTTTTTGCGCTACTTTCTATTTGCATAAATGCGGAAAAACGGTCATATTCTCTGATCCCTACTGTGTAAAGGAGAAGGACTGGCAATGGCAACGATATATAAAAAACACTCATGTTTGAATGTCTTGAAGGTGTGTTAATGGAGTGGCATAGCCTCTAAAATGGTGTGGCAACCACAACCACAGCTTTTCAGTTGTGCCAACCCCATTGAACTTCATTTACCCCATCCCCCACGCCTTCAAAGTGAATTAGCAAACAAAGTGTTTACAATGTCCAGTATAGCTACAATCCTGCAGTTCTCATATAAGTGATAAAAAGCAATAGTTGCTGGAAGCTCAACTACTGTAAGCGAAAAATGGGACAAATGAGATTTTGACTGATTTCCAATTCCATAGTTTGAAGGTTATCTGAAGCAGGATTTAGGATTATGCAAATATAGTGTTTTGTATTGAGTACAAAAAAGTATTTAATTTACTCTGGAAATAGTTAACAATGTTCAAATGTGGGTGACCCCGGGTGGCCTAATATCACCCTCAGAATCCGCTAAAACTTGGCCCACAGGGGTTATTCGACATGCTAATTACGAATAAGGTACTAATTATGCTTTTTGGAGCACCAGGTCATGCCTACAGTGGGCAAACGATAATGCTGGGGAAGGGGAGGGGGTATCGAGATGGAACTTGGAGGAGGAGGGGGGTTGTATCCGACGGTTGTGTACCACACCTCCTGTTTGACCCTGGTTCTAACATCTTAGCCTAGCGAATGACCAAGCGGATAACACAAAGTTTCCAATACAAACACTCATCTTTATGTAGATTTGGAAAAATTTCAATCACGAAAGTCTGCAAAAGGTTTTCGAACCTTATTTTTTCCAGATGTCGAAAGTGGAAAGCCAATGGATTCTGCACTAACTCGCAGTACACAAAAGAAATGATTATGAGAACTTGTGGCAGATCATGCGGATTGTGCTAGATAGGATCTTACTCCGTCTATTTCCCTTGTATTTCCCGCATCAATGTACAGTATGCTAGAAATCTGTTCATTTCGTTCAGTGTACAGTGTACACTCTAAGTCTTCAAAAACTGAGGTAATTCAATGCACACTGAGCAAGAAGAACGCTTTTTTGTTTTGGATGAAAAAAGTATAGGCGATCCTTCCTACGCAGAGACAGGACGTTGCTGCAGACACCGTCGGCGTAATTTTAATTGGAAACACATTTATTCCTCTAACTGTCTGCTTCCATCCCCTCACGAACTATCTCGACTGAACGCATTGGCATCCAGCCTCTGCGAATAAAGTGCCTGTAGAACCTTGATAACCGATTGCACCTGTGCCGTTGAGCTCTGACATCTAATCTGTGTATCAGCAGCGAAGGATGACGTGAGGTCATATCCATCAAAGCAAAGCAAAAATGCAAGCATGGGGACATTGATAGGAATCATCATCTGCAACTTGTCGATTTGTTGACCTTTGCACAAGTGAAATGCGTGGCATAAGGCATTTAGAGCTGTTTGATCGGCATTATTAGTTGGCGGAAGTTTTCGAGATCAAAAAAATTGCCACCTGCAACTTCTGTATGGTAGTGGATATCCATTTGAATATTCAACAGGGGCATGAGCCATTAAAAGCTCATCAAGAAAAGATTGCAGATAGAGCAGGTCATTTGGCTGAGAGGTTTTGATATGAGAACAAACACTTAATTGATTGGAGTAGCAGCTACTAGGTCTAGGTTTGGTCTATAAATGCATATACGGAAACCAATAGTCGTTTCAATCAAAGACTATGAAGCTTTAGTATATCAAGCCCGAAAAGTTATGAAAATTTAATTCAAGGTAGCTGAACCACTAAGACTTAGTTTATATTCTTGTAACTAATGACTTCCTAATAACTAAGTGATTTTAACTTTACTTTTACCTACAAATTCGAAGTACATTAGTACAAGGCAGGCGCACAATGACCGCGTTTTGAAGTACACGTCATTTTACAATCATCTGGTCTGTCTTAAATAGGCGCTTGACCAACAGATATCTTCTATCTATTAGAAACAGAAAAGTAGTATACGAAAGTGTACTGTGTGGTACTACATTATTGTGTATGAAATCAAAAATCAAATTTTGAAAGTTGAGGATTACAGAGTTTAGGTAACCACATCGAGTGAAATTGATCGTAAGTTACAGCGCTCTTCAGATACAGTACCATTTTGTCACCGTTGCAAAGTCAACATATCATACAGTTTCTTCGGATTTGGATTTGTAGAATGATAACATCGCAAAATCTTCAAATTTTTTCTTTAGCTCACGTATAAAGCAGTCGCAGTTGAAAGGTTTTTTTTTGGAATATGGGGCGCAGGTTAACCTGCTGTCCAAAAAAAAGAATTTCAGATGCTTTTCAAATTTAGTAGATTTTTTAGACTAAACCTCACAACCTCGAAATTGTTGAAGAAAGAAATCTTCTCACAAAACTAATTTGACTTTTCTATACCAAAAACCAAATCTTCTGAAAGTGAGGCCAGTTCATTCGCACAAACTTATGTGGCTACTTTGAGAAATTCCGCGATCCATTTTAGAGGAGAAGAGGGAGGGGGGGGGGAGCGGAGTCCGACCCCCATTCGAATGAACGGTTGTGTGTGGTGGTATGAGGCACTCCCACTCCCGACACGTTATTGCTCGCAATTTGTGTGTGCATTGATAGTTTAGTCTTACCACACTACCATAATATGCGGTAGAATTATTGTTGACTCAAATTCTACTAACAGGAAAAGATAAGAAGTAGCAATGGAAAAGATGTGCTTAGAATCGTTAGCGTTTGTCCATGTTACTTGTGCCAGACTGCGCTGATTCACTAAGGAGATTCCTTCTCAGATTATGGAATGTTAAATTGGTGTGGCGATGCAAGGTGTAAGACAGTGTTAGGAGTACGTAACGAGGCAATGCGGGGTCAGGGTCAGGCACAAAGGTGGTAAATGGTGTTTTTAAAATGAATTTCCCTCTGGTAAATTTTTACAATCACCCTTTTGAGCGTTTAAACGTTAAAAATGTGCAACAAAGTTTGACTACCCTTTGCTCGAAAAAAAAGGTGGGACAAATTTTTATTGAAAAGTTCCCAATAAGAGATAAACAAAATTACTGCCTTTTTGAGATCGACTCGACGAGGCATGCTCAAAGTGATGCATATTTCCTTCTCTTCAGACGTTTCTCATTTATTTGAAATGAAGCGTAAATGCAGTGTCTAGAATGGAAGTCTACAGTCATACACACCAAAATTTTATCTGAAAAGAAGAACAGGTTGAGTAGGTTGAAGGGACGATAATTGGACTCAAAGTAAAAAATTGCAACCTCGTTGTATTATAATTCATAAGTGTTAATTCCGCAATTCAGGACCTGTCGGAGTAGTAATGTACGACATAATGCCTCGTACTCTTTGATTACTGCTTAATCAAAAAGAGCAGACAAAAATCTGCTGGAGAGGAGTAATTGTTAGCCCTATAAGAGTTTGTCAGGATGATAGTGTACACTGGCACCTTTTAACGTGGCGAAGGTGAAAGTAGCAAAACCGAACTGCATGACTGTGGTGCTGAAGAGTGTCCCAAAATAATGTGCACACTGTTGGATCGTTGTTAATTTTCTTGTAACTATTTGTGTAGGGCATTTGAAAACGTGACGATGGCGGACCGCTCGCGACACGCACGCATTTCCCTGCAGCCGCCCATTGGTTTTAATCTCTATTCGACTGCTTTTCTGCTTAGTAACGATAGTGCTTGAACATTAGAAGTGACCGAGATAAGCGTTGAGGCGATGCCTTTTTGTATGAGGGTGTTATGCTCCTGTGTGAGCGCAAAAACCGTAGTCAAATCTGGCATCACGAATTTATAAATGAACCTTAACAAGTCTTTCTCCAAGGTACCATTCCGTAAAGTAAGATTTAACCTAGAATTACATTGTGCCAATCAATGAGCGCTCTTCGATAGTGTACGATTTAGGAACTTCCAGCATATAGAATCACAGCAAGCAGCGTGCTGATACCACTACACAACTTTTTATCACTTTTTCGAGCTTTTCCAATGGTGTAATCTCATTTTTGACGAGGAAGAGATTTGTTACCATAAACTTGAAAGACTAATGAAAGAAGCATTACAGTAAAGTGTAATTTTCATAACTGGAATCAGCAACTTCGATCAGCCCAGCACAAGAGTTTTTGGCTTGTTTGGTTTCCTTTCTGGGTCAAAATATCGCCTTCATGGCCTAAATTTTCTTCGAAGTATCTACAAGTTTTATATTAATAAAGAACGACTGGTGATTTGCTTCAAATGCCTTCGATTGCTTAGAGGTAGGGGCAAAGATTGTCTGACTAATTGTCTTTTGTAAAAAGTGAAGACTGTTTATAGAAATTTATAGAAGAAAAAATTGCAAAACAGATAGCAAAAGTAAAAAACACTTGAAAAAACGGAGAAAAACGCTGCAATGTGTATGAAATCTTTCATTTGGCGGCGCGAGTTGCAGGTTTTCGCTCCAGGACAAGGCAATCCACAACGCGGGGGTCTAGTTTTTGGTGCCTCCTTCAAATTTTCAGACTCTTATTGTTGTTCCTTTCCTTGCCACGAGAAAAAGGAGAAAGAGATGAAAAACGCACTTTTTACGTTTCACAAAAAACCACCACATCGAAGAAGTAAACTTGCGACGTTGTCTACGTTTTAGAAAGAAAGCAAGATCTACTAAATGCACCAAAACCGCACGGAAAGAGTTAAACTAAAGGAAAGCAAGAGATTTTCAAAAACACGGTTTTTGCCGACTTCTCGTTTAAATCGAAAAATAGGGTCTTGCGACGTTGTCAGGGTGAAAGTAGAGGTGCGGAGCCTCAATATATACAGTTTGCCGGAATTAAATCCAGAGCAACAAAAAAGGGTACCAGAGCTAAATGCCCGCGCCCTGCGTTTGGGGTAGCGAGGTAGCGCGCACGTGGAGACGCAGAGCAGAGGACAAAAACCGGAACCGACGGGACATTTGGCTCTGGTCGTGCATCTCCGCATGGTTTTAACGAAACCTGCGGTATTAATATCTACTGCGCGACGAAGGCGGTTGCCCAAATAGACTGAAGGTTGTCGCGCACGCGGCACGCGGGCAATTGTCAGCCACGGAGCGTGCACACGCTCGCTCAGCGGTCATCCACGGAGCGCGGCGGCACGACAGCCAGCCCGCTGACCGAGCGTGCGCGCGCTAAATGGCTGACAATTGCCCGCGCGCTGCGTGCGCGACAACCTTCAGTCTATTTGAGCAACCGCCTTCGTCACGCAGTAGATATTATATATTATTCGTCATGGCATGACTGGGAGCACTGACAACGTCGCAAGCGTTGAAAATTCATTAAAGAGGTAAACAAACGTAAATCAACGTTTTTGTGCGCCCTCTATGCGTAAAATTTAAGCGCAATTTCTCGCTTTCACTAAACTTCAGAAGCTTACGTAAACTTTTGGAACTCATCCTGAACTAAAGAGTGGTTAATTGAGTGAGCTCCAGAATTCTGTGAAGAAACCCGTTTAGCATAAGAAAGGTTTTGAAAACACAATTTTTCGGTTTTGCTGGTGTATTTTAGATGCTAATCACTATAATTGCTTCAATCACAACCCTGCCTCTTTTCTGGTAAAAGTTGTGTCTCTCATGGCGCTTGAGTTGAAGGTTACCAGAGCACATGCTTTTACGTACCGAGGGTGTGCTCCACACTGTAAACCTAGATTGAACCTTGCTCTACGTAATGGTGCCTCGAGTTCGGCGAAGGACTTTGAATTCAAGAGAGTTAATATTGAACAAACAATGTGCACATTATCTTGAGACATCCTTATATTTTGGTTTCACACTACTAAGACCAATCCGTTGCATCTGTCACACGCTGAAGATCTTCGAAAAAATGCTAGAAACGCGACTGCGAAGTATCGTAGAAGTGGTCCCCAGCCAATGAATTCTGAAAGGATGCAGTGAAGAGGTGTCATAACACCGCCAGAATGATGATTGGAAGAAGCAGGGAAAAGCAATGTGCTCCACGCGGCGTTCCTGGATCTGGAGAAAGCATTCGATGAAGTACCGCATTACAATATGGTGGGCACTGCGGAAGCACAAGATGCCAGAAGAACATGCCAGACATCAGATGGATGAGAACGATATACAATGCCACCAGCTACGTAGAACATCAGCGCGACATACAGAGGACTTTTGCATACACGCCAGTGTATATCAAGGATCCGTGCTCTATACTGAGGGAATTCGAAAGTTTTCTCGAATATTCGAATATCGAATATATTCGAAAACTGAGAATTTCGAATATTCGACTATCGAATCATATTCGAAAATTGAAAATTTCGAATATTCGAATATCTAGTATCATTTGACTTTCGAATATCATTCCAATTTCGAATATATTCCATTTTCGAATATCATTCGATTTTCGAGTAATTTTCGAGAAAATAGATGTCTATGTGATATGTTAACATGGCCAAGTTTGGTTTGCAAGTATTGTGGGTCTTTGTAGTTTATATGACTACTACTCTGCAATACATGAAGTACTCTTTATTTCTAAACAACTAATTCGACAGCAGTTACACACTGCGCCACGGGAAAAGGGGCGTCACGACTACTGCACAGACTACCGCGCCAGGACTCAAGACATATGCACTCTTCCTTGAGAGTTGTAGGTTGATAAAAACTTTTACAATGACGTGCTGTGCTTTTATGGAGTTCGATTATTCTATGGTCGTCGAACATTCAAAATTCGGATATTCGATGTTCACCGAAGCTTCAAATATTAGATGACTATCGAGTATTCGAATTGATGGCCATCGAATATTCGAATATCGAATAATATTCAAAAGTTGAGATTTTCGAGTGTTCGAATATCGAATATATTCGAAAACCGAAAATTTCTAATAATCGACTTTCGAATTTTATTCGAATGATCTCAGATTTTCGAATATTCTACTTTTCGAATGATTCATTCGAATGATTGGATAACCATTCGATTTGGTCCCAAGCATAGTACTCTCCCTCCTCCTCTTCATCACAGTGATGACACGATAGTTAGAGGCTTCATGCACCAACCTCCATGGTCCGTCATGTACGCAGATGATGTGCTCTTGATAGCAAGAAGCAGGAAGTAATTGAAGAATGTAATGATATGGAAAGAACAACTCGAAATTTACGGTTTGAAGATCAACACCGCCAAGACAGAATACATGTAGCTGGGATTCCAAAGCCAGGGACGATCCAGATTGCAAGCATGCATATCAAGAAGACCACCTTCTTCAAATATCTAAGAAGTCGCAGATGGCACCCTTGAAGATGAGATCACCAGTTGTATAAACAGCATGGTAAAGTGGAGAGAAGCCTTACAAGAGTGCTATGCGACGAACCGCTCAAGTTGAAATCCCAAATGTACCGCATCAGTCTCCGCCCAACCGCGCTCTGTGGAAGTGAGTGTTGGCCGTGCACACGTAAGGAGTAATGGAAGCTTGATGTAATGGAAACACGTATGCTACGACGGGCGATGGGCGTCACGATGCTCGACCATGTCACCAACGATACCATACGAACAACAATGAAAGTGTCAATAGTCACGAAAGTACAAGAAAGGCGGCTTAGATGGAACGGGCATGTGAGGAGACGACAGGAAGAATAGATCATCACCAGACTAGTAATGACAGAGATCCCCGGTAGAAGACCAAGAGGTACAGCTAACTGCACGGAATCACCCGGAATGAGCACCCGCGCGCGTGTCTCTTGCGGGCTAACGTTGGCACTCGCGCGCATGAGTCATCATAACGCCCGTACTCGGCAGCCGCGTTGCAGGCACGTTCGCGTGCGTTCAGCCTACAACAACCCGAGCGATTTCGTACAGGCAACTTTACCGAAGATGCGCTCGATAAGATCAACGCAGACTTAAGAGAACTTGGAGTCGATGAGAGTCAAGCGTCAACCGTGAAGCGTGGAGGAGACTGACAAGAGTGGCAGACCCCGCATGGGAATGATGCTAGGCTAAAAAAACTACCAATCAATAAGACATTTTGCGGCATGCGTCTTTCTCACAACGGTTATATTCCTTCATAGATGGCATTTGACGGGATTCGTTATTCCAAAATTGATTCATGTCTTTCTAGTAAGAAAAGGTGTCTAACTTAGCTCGTCCTTTTGGCAAAGGAGCTCTGAAAGCTATTCCAAATATGCTATTTCTAACTGCCGCGCACCATTCTGAAGCGAGTCATGGGCTTTTCTTGCGCAAAATTGGTATACTACTGAACATGGGAAGATGCCTGTAGATAAAAATCTGCAAAGAAAGTTGCTAAGATATCAAAATAACAACACTCACTAAAAAGAATCTCAACGCAAGTTTCATTTAGAGGATGATGTCGTGGTGCCAGTGGGTTGGTGAGCGTGCCAGCTTTGCGCAGGAAATAGTCCATAGCTCTCTTCGGAATGGTGCACGGCAGCTAGGAATAGCATATTCGGAATCAGCGTTTAAAGCTGATTTAGAATATTATTTCCCTTGTCAAAAGGCCGAGCTATAGGTAGCATCTCTCAAGTAGCATCCCATCAACAGCGAATCAACGCGAAGACTGTCCTCAAAAGTTTAAGCGTGTTGGCTTAACGTTTTTCAAGAGCAAGGTCAATTAGGAAAGGTTCAATTTTGGAGCATAAATTATAGGGGTGATTTGTTTATTCTGATTAAGCACATATGGTAATCACGTAGTCTTCTAATATCCATATTGAACTAATTGGCCACGATGTCATAATGATTGAAAGGTGATGTGTAAACGATCGTACTGAGAGAGGTTGACGCAGATTAAATTACGCTTACGGAATCTGTTCCGTAATCGGAAACTATAATCCTTACACAAAGACCATGCTTAGTCTGCATCAACATAGGGAACTTTCTAGCAAAACGTCTCTATGTGGCGCACACTAATACAGCACACTATCCTCATTTCAGTGCATATGTAACATCCATGGTTGAGAAACACGAATAAGCTAGACAAGTTTGTCGGTGATTTGCATTTCAAGCGAGCTCCTACCTCGCCGAGAAAATTTTTTGCAGCTGTAGCGTTATTACTGCTAAGCTTTACTAGATGCGGATTAAATCACGCTATTCGATTTACCGAGTTAAATGTTGAAATATCGAAGCTCTAAACTACGCAGGCAATATATTCGCAAACAAAATTAACTGTTAAATCTTTAACTGAATGGGAGTAGTGTACTAAACAACTTCAATTATAAAAAAGAGGAAGATGGCTGAAAAGTTTGAAAAAAGCAATAATAACACTCTGGGAAGGGTATGAGTGAAAAAGCTCGAAGCGAATCAAAACAAATGGAAACAATTAATTTGCACTGGAGGAAAACACATGAAATGTTTGGCTTAACATCTGACTCGCTTCATTTTGGCACAAGTATGAAGAAAATGTTAATAGAATCAGATCGAATTAACATACAAAAGCAATGGCCTCCCACCGGTAAGGTCACAGCATGCGGGAAATGGGGAAGAATATATCATTTCACATTGAAGTTATTGTGAGCCACACAAAAGTTGTCAAACTTCATTCGTCTTCTGCGCCCCGGCGTTGTCGGAAGGACTTATAGCAGGATCATAGGATCTAGTCAAAATTCAGTTTGCTCCATGTAACTCAGAAAGAGCATCGATGCCGTGCAGGCCATCCAGTCAGCCTGTAGGTACCTAAAACGCGAACCCAACAAAAAAATCAATAAAATGGGATTCAGATGAAGCAAGACATAACGGAAATTTTCAAAGTAACACCCTTCTCACATTCGCTATTTACATGATAAAGGAGCAATATCCAGAGTTACTGTTTCACTGTTGGCATTTGTCTTCTCGAACCGCTGATACAGCATTTGCAAATAGCTCAGCCGATTTTTAAAGGGTTTCAAATTATATACATTAGAAATGAGTACAACTTGGCTCCAATCACTTTTATAGTAGAGATTATTTTATAGTAGAGATTAAAGAACATATAGAAACTATGCTAATGCCAGGAATTTAGAAAAGCTCCACACACCACGTGAGGCAATCTCAGGTCGTACGAGAACCATTTTCAGGCAGAGAAACAGAAACAACTTTTAGGTATAAAAATTGAGAAAAAAGAAAGTAGCTTTCTGTACAGACACTGAACCTTTTTGATCTTTGCTTTGATTCTTCCCTGCAGCTTTAAACGTCCAGTGATCAATTACGGCGTTTTTGTGTTCTTCGCAATGCCACTTGATAATTCGACGTGTTGCAGTATGGCTTTCCAACAGTATTCCAATCTGCTCGAGAGGTTGCATGTGCTGGAGGAGGCAGTAGCGAACTTGAAATCCACTGCAAGAGAAAGACGACAATATGCGCGCCAAGAACACCGTGGGCACCTTTCAATCCGCTTTCGCCTCTTCGATGAGTATCTGGTCACGCGTAAGCCAGAGGGTTTTCTCGATTTCATCAGGCTTATGCCAGATGAGTTCGAAAACCTCTATCAAAGGATAGGAGATAGTATAGAACGTCTGAGGTTCCACGCTGCCCCCATCGTTGGTCGCCATAGACTAGTGATCTATCTAAGGTGAAGCGTTGACCTCATGTTCGAGCTTTACGGCCTTTGCACTAGACATGGGATGTGGAGTGAGCACTGTTTCAGAGATTGTCAGGGATGTCACGGAATCTATCATAACCGGTACAAGCATCTAAGGACACTCGTACGCATTTGCTCAAAATCTTTCAAAAACGAAGTTCAGAGCTGCATGAAGAAGCTTTTCCTCCTGTGACTCGGGAGATGTTGACAAGAGGAGCAAGAAGGGCACAAGCGATATATGGCTAGCCTCGAGCAGCTGGATTGCATTGATTTGCATTAACTTATTAATTTGCAGTAATCCCTGAAAGAAAGAGTGCTGTTTCGAAACTTAGACTCATAGCAACTTACAATCACAGATTATCTTCCTGGCCAAGAACTTTTTCAAAACTCTTCCCCAGGCGTCATCTCTCTTCATTTTCAAATGGTAGTCGTTGCATCGCGTATCCCAAATAGCAGGCTCTTCTTGGACAAACTGGGCTAGCAGTTCACGGAAGTTGAGACTCATTTCAAAGCTGACGATTGACTACACTGAAACTGGATCTTCATTAAAAAAGATAAAAAGGCGCATAACGACCGTGCACAGCCAATAACGCTTGAAATGCAAGGAGAATGGAAGCAATGAAATTGGCGGTAAGCATTGAGTGAAAAGTTAGAAGGAGTAATAGCGCGTCTCGTCTCGTCTCGTTTATCTTGACAAACACACATCATAACAAAACAAGAGAAATTTTCTTTGCGATAACGAAGTAAAATGGAAATTCGAGATACATCCGTGAAAGAAGTTGACGCTACATTGAGGGTGGAAAAACAAAGAGTATAGATACATGTAATTGTAACGTAAGAACAAAAAAGAACAGACGCAAAGTCGATTGATCCGTGCAGTCAAGCACTAATTGCAAACGAAAATAGATATGTAACGTGGAGCTACTTGTGACTAACATACGTGCACAACGCGCGCTGTATTTCACGCGTATTCCAATATGGCACTTTGCCGGCAAATCCCTGCGCTTTGGCAGTTCCGGCGCCTTCGTGCGCCTTTGTGCGCCTTTGTGCGCGGTCTGAACGATCCCTTAGTTCTGTGTGTAATGACGAAAGCTGCCTTTCTAACGATCCAAACGCATTCTCTATGATAATCTTGCCTCTACAAAGTGCTTCCGTAAATCGTACTTCTAAAGTTCCTTTTCATAAAGGTCGGATGCTAGTTGATAATGTAGTTGCCAACGTTTTGTCATCTCTTGATATGGGCTTTAGAAAAAATCTTTCCAAATTATACGCGCTATCTGCAAGGAGAATGCCTGTCTTTCTTCCTATCACAAAATCCCTGTTTAGTGCACTGCTACGGAATATCTGAAAAATAAGTTGATTGTGAAGTGCCAGAAGAGTGGCAAGTTTTGTCAATTATGCGAGATCGTGAACTCGCCCTGGTAAGAATTAACCAATAAAACGGTGTTCAGTACCACATATCGTTCTCATATTTACAGAATGGAAAGCTTTTCTGAATGTGTAAAGCTGATTGCATGTTTTCATTGTCAACTGGATCTTGTCTGTTGACGTAGTTATCTTCGCATACTCCTGGCGCCAGAATTTTTTTGTGGGGACCGTCCAAAGCTCCGATGACATAGGGAATCCTACACAACTCATAAAATCTAGAAACATAGCCTACAGTGCAATAAGTGCATAATCCAACTAATTCTTTGGATGTTGCATTGCTCGTTTTTATTTGGTTATTTGATAAACTCGTTTTTTCTTCGATGTAATACATCCGATACCTGCGCGACAATGCGGGAGACTGTCGGCTGTGAACAGCCTAAGTTAATGACTGTTTTCCGCTGAAGTTACAATGTGATGGAGCCACATTCTGTAAGCAGATATGTGTACCTGCATATTAGCGCTTCCCACATGTTCTAGGAAGATGGCGAGCTTATGACAGCTGCAGTCCTTGTTGTCGAGCGATAAATCTTCGTGCAACAACGCTAGTAAGTTATGAAATCCACATCGACTTGGACGAAAACGCCCTCTGAATTTCCTGTAGTCGAGCAGGTCTAGGGTATCAACTCTGTTGCGCAATACACGCGGTGTTGCGGCTCGGTGGGCTCAGCACCCCTTTGCCTCGCTCGACTGCCTGCACAACCCTGCACCTACTGCTTACAAACCTAGCGCCGGTTAGCTACTCCGGCGCGTCCATCCAACTGCCCCACTGCCTGACAACATGACGCGCGGCTAGATTGCATACATTTATCCTTAAAACAGAAACTACATTAAAAAGAAACTAAACTACGAAAACACCTAAACTAAAAAGAAAATTATATACGGGACGAGTCCGCCTCGTCTCAAGCCACCGACAATCACCAAACTAGTTCTAGTACATGATGTCAGGGGAATCCAACAGGGTTGACCGCCTACTCTGGCCTCCGCGTAGGAAAGGTACGAGCCCTCTCCGCTCTCGTTGTCAACCTTTACATAAATGCTCTAAACTTTCCTCGCACGTCAGTGCAGCACAATCCAAGAGTTATATCAACAATCACTTGCTCAACCGCCAAAACAAGTCTCCATCTGCGGGAGTTTACCGAAGGAGCTGCCAAGCACAGTCAATAAGGAAAACTTGCGGAATCAGAAAATAATTTGAAACGAGGTCGAAAATCAGAGAGGCATATGCCGCCAGTTGGGCGGCCTCATATACCCCTCAACTTGGCGACGCCCCCAGCGAGGAGAGGTCCAGGCGCGAATGTAATAGCGCGCCCGATTTAGCGGCATGCAGTCTCCCGGCACCTGAATCGAGGGGCTTGCATCGTGCGAGCCGCGACACGAGGAAGCGCCGTATTGATCAAGAATTCAAAGATTTCTCTCTTGCTATCTTCCACAATTTAAATGAGTCGGAACCGTATAAATGGTAACTGAAGTACAGGGCCATATGAATATAGTAAGAGTCAAACTCCTACTCACAAAGCATAAGAATGTTCTCGACAAACATTATGTAAGATACACACGATTAACTCAACAAAAGAATAGTAAACACTTCCATTCAAATTTTTGCAGCTTTTGAAATAACACAACATGGGATTCAGATTGAAATCTGTTTATATTATAAAATTGTCGGTAAGGGTGGATCAGATCACTGATAAATCACTAAATCATCAATCGCTCAGGTACTGTTTTGTTGGAGCTTCCAGCATATAGCGCCATTTTGAAATAGGCCATCCATAGAAGGTCCCAAAAAGCTTGGAAAGTTGTGTAGCAGTTTTTTTGAAAAATGCTAACTCCTTTAGACAACCTTGCTGAAAGTCTTTACGCATTTCATATACAGTCGGTTTCATCCCGGATTAGGCGAGTGATTCTACGTGGAGCAGCGCATGCGCATCGCTGGAGGCTTCGCGAGCGCCTAGCGCTGGCATTTTGCCAAGCAAAGACTAAGGAGATTGAAGAGACGCAGACATGGGTTCTCAGCACGATAGGATATACTGTAGCTGCGAAACGGCGCGAGCTGTTGCGAGGCGGACTCCCGCCAATCCAATTTCCGCCTAAAGCGGGCCGAAACTTACTGTAGATTGAATAGATTCTCGAAAAGCACTGAAGAAAAGTTGTTGCGGTTTACTTGGCAAAACTTATAAAATAATTTTTTTGGTAAATTGCGAACTTCACATTCATGATCAGCGACTCTGTTTGACTTGATAGGAGTCTCCAAGCTCTAGCTTGCTAAGTATCCATTTTCAGCTAAGAATAGGGATTGATCGTTCCTCAACTTTCTACCGTAATCCTACGGCAATAAAGAGCGATGAGTGTTTCGTTCCATACTACAAATCTAAGTTTACTGCTTAAGCCTGCTCTACGCGCTTAGCTAACCAAATGTTTTGTGGAAGAAGAAATAGCAACGAATAAAAAGTGTGTACTTACTTTTGGTACACCCTGTGTATATCAAATGTCACGTCTATCATGTTGGAACATGACCGGTTAGCTCCTGAGAATTCCTTCCTGCCAAAACATGGTAACGCGCTTATACAAGATATACGCAGGTCAAGCGGGGGGTGTGGCACACGACCGCCGGATACGACCCCCGGCACGACCCCCCCCCCCCATTTTCTACCCCCTCCCCTCCTTGCTTACATGGTTCAACTTAGCACAGACACACTAACAGCTCAATCAAATATACAGGCTGTGTGTTATCTCACCTGCCGCGCCTAGCTTGAAAAACCAACGCGAAAGGTGGCTGAAAACCTCGGGCTTGCGGTAGAGGCTTGTCACAAGCGACTAAGATCGCACCTCGCTCAAACATATTTACTACTAGTTGACTTACCCGGCTCCGCCCGGCCCTGTCATTATTATATTCGTAATCAGCATGCTCTATTACCCCCCTGTGCACTCCCAGCCCCGTAGCCCAAATTTTGCAAAAAATCGATAAAATCGATATCGATCGATACGAAAAGTAGCCTATGACACCCGCCGGGGCCCGAGGTGTATGTGTGACAAGTTTGGTCCGGATCGGTTCAGAAATAAAAATTTCTATTCGGAACATACGTACATACAGACATACAGACATACAGACAAACAGACATTCAGCTTCATACAGGGTGTTTCAAAAAATGTATCGAACGTTTGATCGTTGATATCTCTCTTCTGAAGAAGTCTTCTTCCTTGCTTCAGGTACCAATCTGTAGAGCTGGCTTCAACTTAGATTTGCATTATAAAACGAATCACTCATCTCTCTTCGTTACTGTATAATTACAGTAGAAACTTCAAAGAGGGTTTTAAGCAATGAATTGCCATATTTTGCCCCAGAAAGGATTTAAACAGCCTGAAAACTTTTACACTAGGCTAAGTAGAGTTGCTGGTTATAACTGCAAAGTTCCCAATTTATTATGATGCTTCATCGAAGAGTTATGCCAGGTAAGAGGTAGCGGCCATTTTTTCAATGTTCCTAAAAAGTGCGGTTACACCGTTTAGAAAGCTTCGTAATTTTATGAATAGTTGAGTATTGAACTCAGCGTCCAGAAAAACCCCAATACACAAGTTTTTCACATTTTTTTGGAAAAATTTTCAAACGGCAGCTTTTTCCACATCGACAACATTTGTTTCAAGTTTCTACCGTAATCCTACAGTAATGAAGAGAGATGGGTGATTCGTTCTATAATCTAAGTTGAAGCCAGTTCTACAGATTGGTACCTGAAGCAAGGAAGAAGGCTTCTTCAGAAGAGAGATATCAACGATCAAACGTTCGATACATTTTTTTGGGACACCCTGTATATAAGATAGGCTTTTGAAGTCACTTTCACTTGAAACACAGCAATGTCTAAAAAGAAAAGGGAAAACAGTTTTTAAACGAATAGGGACTGTAATCAAGCAACCGCTCGCTAATGCTGATGCTGGAGATAGAGTTCGGGCAATCGGCAAGTTGGGAAAGAGTTATTCATTATTTGCTTGACATGACTGGATGTCCTCCGTAGAACAGTACGGCTACCAAAATGGCATTGTCGCAAAACTCTGTATTCTTTGAATAACCCATATAAGCGATGGCCCTGAAACAACGCATATTTCAACCAAAGGACAAAGTCAACATGTGCTATCCAAAAGAATTCGAGCAAACCCACTTTTACCTGTTCATTCTCAACATGTCCCCAAGCTTATTTTCAAATCGATCCGCCTCTCGTCGCTCACAAGCAGACGATCTGGAAGAAACATTTCTCCCATGATTTCGATAAATATGCAGAATCTTACCTCACTATTCGCATAGTGGACAAAACCTCTTCAGCAATCTGATTTGCATCAGCAATGGTTGTCTGAGTCTTTTCCGACAATTTCTGCGAAGATAATCTCGGAATCCGATGACTCGCAAGATAACGAAACTGGACTCACACAAAAAATAAAAGCTCACATCGTAATATGCACCATACCACTTGGTGAGCCAACAAGGGGAATCGCAAGGAATCACCTTGAAACATCATAAAATTCCACATAACCGTATGCAATTACCAGAGATAATCACCAACAAGTCCATAGCTCAGATGAGTATGACACCGTTCCTCATAAACACGTTCAAGATTGTTGAAACTGTTGAGGACATTGTCTGGCAGTCAGATGTCAAACGAGATACCATTTTGCTTAAGAAAATAACTGAATGGAGCAAATCAGAAAGCAAAGGAGATAGAAAACAGAAAAGCAGGGCATACCAGATTTCATTATGTCAAAGAAGTCGATTTCTTGATGAACTATTGTAATCACCAACTACATAGATGACTAGAAAAACAAAGCCTAGAGCAAACCAGAACCAATGATATTGGCAATATCTCAATAGCGCGAAAATGTGGTTGAGAGTGCTTATTCGTTTGGGACCACCATCAACAAGATCTCGGATATGCCTAAAACTAAGGATATTCATAGCATGGTGACAAACTAATCCTAAATTTAAATCCTAACCATGTTTTCAGGTTTTTGCTCAAAATTTAGCCCTACATTACCGTTGTTACCGCCATCGTATTACCGGTTTATCTGTTTCTGTTAGCTGTTGTCGTCCTCCATGGCAATAGTCCCTACCGATGCTATGGGTGTTCCGCTTCGAATCGATGTGATCCAGCAATTTCATTTTCCCGTCAGCGGTCTCGTCAGCTGGTGTCTAAGTTTTCATATCTTAGCGAAAAGGCAAACTTTGTCACTATGGGGACGAAAACAAAACGGAGTCGTTGCAACCTCAGATAATCGCCGGGGGCAGGCGAACATGCGAATTTTGAGCAAGCGCGCACCGGAAAAATAGTTTGCTGATTTCTTGCGGTCCGCCTGCAGAAATTTGGAATAATTTCAGCGAAATTTTAGACGAATGCTTGGAGAACAATCGCGGTCTACTCATAGATTAGCTGCGGCGCAGTGGCCGCATTCTCGCGGACTTTCCGCGAGAATATGCAAAATTTTCGGGGGCCGCACGGTCCTTTGTGGAGGACCGCGCAGCCCCCAGGTACTTTCCGCTGAAAGAAAGTACCTTAAACTTGAGTAATTAAACCAACGGTGACACCTCTGCCACACAGAGTCTTACCTGTGCTCGACGTACGCCCGAAAATGCGTAAAAAGAGTCCGAGCGCTTGCTGAAAGTTTGGCCAGCGCTCGCTGAAAGAAATTATTTGCCGAGCGCTTGCAAAAAATGCTGTATTGCTGCCCGCTGGCAGCATATGCGACCGTAAAGGAAGTGCCGCCCGCTGAAGGTTTGGCCATGCCCCAAAATTCTGCTGACCACTTGCAGAAAAGCGCGAGTTTGCGGACCGCCTGCCCTCGGTGAGCAACCCTTGAAAAAACACATAAACGGGCAATGCTATTCAAAATGATGTATCAACAAGATTATGGCAAAATGAAAAGAAGGAATTTGTTAACATCTGAAAGTTGCAATTCAAAAAAAAAAACAAAAATTCTGTTACAACTTACTCAGATAATCGCCGGGGGCAGGCGCCCATGCGAATTATGGGCGGGCGGGCACCGGAAAAATAGTTCGCTGATTTCTTGCGGTCCGCCTGCAGATATTTGGAAGAATTTCAGCGAAATTTCAGAAGAATGCTTGAAGAACAATTGCGGTTTCCTTATAGATTAGCTGCGGCGCAGTGGCCGCATTCTCGCGGACTTTCCGCGAGAATATGCAAAATTTTTGAGGGCCGCACGGTCTTTCTTGGAGGACCGTAGCCCCCAGGTACTTTCCGCTTAGAGAAAGTACCTCAAACTTGAGTAATTAAACCATCGATGAAACCCCTGCCATGTAGAGTCTCACTTTTATTCGGCGTACGCCCGAAACTGCTTAGAAGCCGTCCGAGCGCCAGCTGAAAATTTGACCAGCGCTCGCTGAAAGAGATCATTTGGCGAGCGCCTGCAGAAAATTCTGTGTTGCTGCCCGCTGGCAGAACATTAAACAATAAAGGAAGTACCGCTCGCTGAAGTTTTGGCCACGCCCCAAAATTCTGCTGGCCGCTTGCAGAGCGCGAGTTTGCAGAAATCGTCGGGAGCGCCTGCCCCCGACGATTATCTGAGTTACTTGCCTGAAGAACCTCTTTCTGCAGCTGATTCGTCGGAGGGATTCGCATGCCAAATGAGCAGTATTTGAAAGGAAAGCGAGAGCTTCTTTGTGGCAACGATTGGCATAGTAACCCTTTTCTCTGCCTGATTGTTTTTCTTTAGCATAAATAATGGTTGATGAAAGCGCAACCATTGAAATTAATTACCGTACTTCAGCGCATATTCACAAAATCCGCTGCATCTTTTCCTAGAAGACGCGCTTTGGGGAGCAAATGCTACATTGAAGAGGGGAAGGAAGACTCATTAAACTAGTGTGAAAAAGGCTTTCGTTTGAGTAAAGGTAAGTCAATGTGGTGTGACACTCCCCCCCCCCTTTAAAAGCTGTGGCGGCCACAGCTTTTGAGGGAGAGTGCCACACCCCATTAACTTACCTTCAAAAGGATTTTTCGGATTTTTTTATATATGGATTGGAAGGTGAGGCCTCGTACTACACATAGCAGAAATTTGAGCCTGATTGTTTTTCTTTAGCATAAATAATGGTTGATGAAAGCGCAACCATTGAAATTTGAAGGTGGGACTTGCAGTCTTCTAATTCCACAGCTTGGAAGTTCATTGAAGTGGGATTTCTCATGCAAGGAAAGAAGGTAGTGCTTTGCATTGAGTGCAAAAAGAGGTGGCTTACTCATCTTCAAAATGAAGATAATCATATTTGAAAATACTGTTTCATATAAGCTTCTTTACTACTCGGAGACTTGGCGCATAGGGGTTAATGCGACATGCTCACTACGATAATGATACTTGTTTAGCGTGATAGGGCCTTTTTTTCAGGTATACGGTAGGTGCACGGTATTGAAAACTCGGTGTCATTGAATGTGTTTGGATTTTGTCGGGTGCATTGCATCATAAAGAAACAGTTATTATAATTAGTCTAGAAACTATCTACGAACTATATAATAGTTATTGGAGTTGATTAACTTACAGCTTTTAAGGTGTGCTTTTTTCAAATAGCTAGTGAGTCAGCTTTCCGCTTTGACCCTAGGTCAATACGAGCCCCCTTACCTGTCCCAGCCGAAACGACCCCCTGGTGTGGCGTGCCACACCTCCCGCTTTACCCTGGATATACGGCAGTATCAACTTGGCAGTTGGAAAATCATCAGCAGCAAGGGACTTCATAACCGCTATTACGTCATGGCATTTTCAGTGAGTACTCTGCTGACTTCCAGTAGATTTTGACCTCAAGGTAAATCTGTGAATAGCAAAATTACCTTGAGATAAATCTACCTTGAGGCATGCTTTCAAGTAAAATTTAACCTCAAAGTTCATTGGTAAATACGGTCATAGGGTACGATGAGTATTCCTACAATGATGCCTTTATATTCCGGCAGTATAGATAGGATTTTTTCGTCTAATCCTGGTAAAGAAACGGTATTCAACATGTGGGCATGTGTTGATGTTGATTTTCGCAGATTTTTGGTAAAGCCATCGTGTGTGACAATTCTGCGAATAAGGTAAGAATATTGATGATAAATAGGGTGGTTCTGCAGCCCGTTACTAAACTTACCAAGACCAGTCGGAAGGGTCATCCGGGTAAGATGACGAGAGCTCACTAAGAGACCCGCCATGAGGAGGACAGGAGCTATTATACCTGTGCAAAGACGAGATTCCTTCTTCATGCATGCTGATTGCAAGTATTTTGATAAGTACATTATTAAAATTTTTCCCTTCGAATATTATCCTCTTTCAAAAGGGGGTCCGTATCAATTGATACCCGGACAGCCGCGTGCAGCCGCATCGGGTGGTAATTAGGAAGATGCGAGCAGCATCGCTTGCGCTGCGCTACGCGTCTTTTGCTTATAGGTCGTCCCCGCCGTGCGCGGAGAGCAACGCTGTCGCGTCCATCGAAGACAGTTCATGACCGGAAGAGGCGCAGAGAAAATAAGCGGGCGAGAGTGCACGAGAAAAAAGGAGTGACACGCGATACACACTTTGCGCACTCTCCGCGCCCTGCGCGGATGGCCTATACCTATTCCCTCTCTCTCGCCATTCAGCACCTCATTTTGAGGTGCGAGAAGACCTAAATTATCAATTAGGCCCACCATTTTCGTCCAATGAAGTAAATTGTTTGTTCGGAAATTATCTGAACGGAATATTATATCCGACTTATTGTTTTATTATTCAAATTCTGCAATGCACTGATTGCATTTATCATTTCAAAATTGATTTTTGTCTCGACTCAAATTCTTGGAATGATTACCAGGTCCTCTGCATTTGTTTTGGTCTGTGGCAAAAGCTTAGTAAACGGATGGATAGAGGAATCAAGTCATTACAGCTCACTAAAACTCCTGTTCTGTTCTTTGATGGTTTTGCAGCCATTTCTTTCTATAAATTAGGTTTATCACCTAGGATTTGAATACTGCCAATTTTGTTGATCGTGCCACATATATTAGGTTGTCCCATAAGTCTTTCCATACCTGACTTTTCAGCGACATAAATCAGTTCTTCTTGAACACCTAATAAAATGCAGGATACCTTTCGAAAGATCAAAGCAAGCTCTACAAGATGGCTTACAACAGTTTGCAACAAGTGTAATCTGCAACGAGTTCCGAGCCAAAATAGAAAAATTTCCAATTTTTCGAAAAAAACGAAAATTATCATATCTCAGTTCAAAACAACTCTGCAAATTTCCTGCTTTCTCACGCATATACTCTCCTCATCGGATATTTATACATGCACTTGCTGCATTTTTCTGACGGCTAGAAACCAAGAAAAAAATAGTGCGCTCAATTTTCAAACCTTGCCTGTATGAGTTCTGTGTTCCCCGCAAATAGGTGTTTATATAGCGTATTCACCCGGAATTACTGCCACAAATTTTCAGCCTTCTAGGTGCTCTAGTTCTTGAGAAATATCTAATTGAAGGTCCGAATATGAAAAGACTTATGGGATAACCTAATAACACGAAAAAATTTAT